TTTTTTTTTTAATTGAAGGATGTTGCTAAATCCAGTGTTTTTTATGCCACGTTTACAGATGCTGGATTCAAAACTATCGTCACAGCCAGTGGAAAAGCCACACGGCCTTGCCCATGAGCATCAAACAGCCCCACCCACTGAAGCCTGAAGCCCAGGACTGAACACGCCGCTACAGCCCTCACACGGCATCTCTGCAGAGACACACGCGGGCTCCGCCTCTAGATCCCTCCGGAACGGACCCAGCGGCTAAAGGTCACCAAGAAGGAAACATTCCCAAAACCCAGGGCAGATGGCCAAATGCTACTGGTCTCTCCCCGTCTCCACGGCTACGCTTACTGCCTCCATAGCCCTGAGAGGTCACGTAACGAATAGCACTCGGTACCTAATAAAAAAGGAGTCTATACAACGTCCATCAGCCACTGTAAACGCGGTAATGAGATAGTGAGAACTTGCCGCACGTTTTTCAATAAACACACAATGGGAATAAAGAATCAGCACGGCAAGGAACTCTGTTGGTGACGCGCGTTTGGGAGCCGCAGGAGGCGCCCGCGAGCCGTGCTGACCTGACGTTTTCCGAGCCCAGGCCTGAGATGAGCTTGTCCGCGGCGATCAGCCGCCGCTCCATGATCTCGGCTTCCTCCTGCAGCTTTTGCTTTTCCAGGATGGCCGCCTCGTACTTGGCACCCAAAGCTTCCAGTTCCTTCTGGATCGCCGCCAGCTCGTTCTGGATCCGTTCTAGTTCCCGCTTCGTCAGGAAAAAATTCCGCTCCAGCCTGGCCACCTGAGTGAAGACAACGGGCAGAGGGATGGGGACAGGGCCGTGTGGCGCAGGGGTCTCACGGCAGGACGCACATCCACACCAATGGCGTCCGTGCCGTCTGGGTCACCACGGGCTACACTGGGGCTTGCGGCTTCTTAGTTTCCTCTTCCGCTGTTTGTGGCAAAAGCTCCTGCACCCAAGGTAGCAGGCGGTCTACTTTTCACGTGTGCCGAGGCCACAGCAGGGTGACTCTCTGGTTCTCTATGAAAGATTCAAAGGAGGATACTGAAGACAATACCGGTCCTCCCTGGGTCTAAGTTTTCTCAGACTCAGGTTCCGAGTGTTCCGAGTAATAAAATTCCGGGTTATACGACAATGTCAAGTAGGACTCCAAATGGTCCAATCAACCTTATTCTCTCTGTATTCTGTGCTCTACATGCTACTTTGACCCAGCTGTTCTCAACTGGGGCCGATTTTGCCTCCCAGGGGACGCTTGGCAATGTCTGAAGACATTTCTGGATGTCACAGCTTGGGGTGAGGAGGGGCTCCTGGCACCTAGTGGGGCGAGGCCAGGGAAGCTGCCACACACCCTACGACGCCAGGCCAGCCCAGTGCCACGGCTGAGACACTCGGTTCCCCGCGCCGTACCCCGCGCCGTCACACACGATCTGAAAATCTCTCAGACTCGGCTCTGTCCGTCCACTTCACGCCTACATGAGAGCTGTCTGTCAGGGCGACCATTATGGGGGGCGGGGAAGGAACCGTTTACGCTCTGCAAAGCCAGAACCTTGCCAAAGTTTCTTCAGCAAAGCTGTGAACATGTATAATTCTGACTCCAATCGGTCTCTCGGCAGTGGCGCATCCGTCTCGGGGGGTGGGCGATACCTTTTCTCTTTTGGGCTTGATCTCTCTGAAGACGTCACAGTAGCCCATCACAGCCTCCACGAACTTCAGCATTCCCAGCCCGGCCTTGCTCACGGCTTCCATCTCCTCGATCGTGGTGTTGAGAGTCTTCAGGAGGCCTGAAGTCAAAAGCGCAATCGTTCCTATGAGTGGCAAGCTTCAGCTTGGGACAATAAAAGAGGGATAAATTACCTACGAGCAAAGCAAGCGTAGCAAATTCCTTACTCTGCGGTCACGCGGCGAGCAGAATGCAGGCAGTGCTCCTGGGACCACAGCGTGGGCCAACCCACAGTGCGCGAGCGGACGTCCGAGGACGCCCAGAAGACCTGGGGACCCAGGGCATGATGGGGACTCCCAACTGCGCACCAGGCTAGCTCCGCGCAGGCAGCTAACTGGGACCTGCCGGCCATTGCGGGTCACCCATCACCTCCACCTGCGCCTCACCCCAGGAGTCACGTCACATGAATGGAAATCCATCCAGTGGGTATCAGAGCCGGGAGTGCCTTGGGGCTTGGTGGTGGTTGTTATTGTTTGTGTTTGATTTACTTTTGTTTCTAAGGGGCTGAGAAGGAGCATTTGCCAACAAGGCTCTACGCAAACCGCCAAACACGGTGTGAGCTCGCACTGCTGTTTGCCAAGGACAGCGCCGCTCCTCCTGGCTGCACGCCGGCAGGGTCAGCAATCGGGCTCAAAGGGAACTCGGGGTTCTGTCGCCAAAGATGCAGGGGCCGGCCGTGGGCGGTGTGGGCCTCTCCCCCTTGGCCAGGCCCCTGCAGAAGACTTTATACCGACAAGAGGGGCAAGGCGCGAAGTCAAGGCCAGACCACCGCTCTGCACCACCGTGCGCGTCGGACGAGCTGCACGGAAGGCAGGCTGGGCCGCGTCCCGGTGAGAAGCTCCTGTTTCCTGGCTGGGAGAGCTGGAGCCAGCGGGACCCCGGCATCCAGCGGCATCCGCTGCCACCGCCCATCCCCAGCCTTTCTCCCTGGTTCACCAATGGGCGTCACTTCCTCTGGGGACAGTCGGTCTCCCGTTCCATCTGCAGGGCCTCGGTGGTACCGTCTGACCACAGGGGAGGGCCTGCCTGTGACAAGTCCCCTCCTTGCCCTCCATCCCCGTCCCAGAGACCAAGACGCCAAATCGAGGTCAACCCTGGCTGTTCCCGCATTTGAGCACACTCACCTTTGATATTCTTAACCTGGCTGTGGGAAATTGAATCGAAATCGATCTCCATCAGAGACCTCAGGAAATTCGGGTCAGACATCACGCCTTTGGCGGTTTTCCAGTTGAGCTCTCTGTGCCCTTTCATGATGAGGATGCACTCGCAGACCGTCTGCACCTGCTTCGGGGGCTTAGCGAACGACCTGGCAGGGGACAGAGGCACACGGTAGCCCCGGTCGCGGCAGCGGCCGGCCCAAAAGAGCTCCAGGAACGACGGTTCACCCGGAAGTCGTTCCCGGGAGGTGGCACCGCATGGTCGCAAACGGAGCCAGATCCCAGCACAGACTGGGCTCCAGGGTGGCAGCTGCCCTGAGGACAGGGACAGGGTCCTGGGACCCAGCCAGGCACCAGAGTCATGGGGGTGGTCGTTAAAATACAAACCCAGGCCACCCCCGGGCCAGGGCGGAGCCTGAGAATCTGTGTCTTAATTACACCCTGGGGTGACTCCTCACTCTGAGTGGTGGCTGCTGTCATTATTGTCATCATCGTCATCATCTTTTCCCGTTTATGAGATGAAGAAACAGGGCTCCGTGTGTTCGGACAACAGCCTGGGAGGTCCGGGGTCCCTGCCTCTAGGGCTCTTTCCAGGCTGCGTTGCCCCAAATTTGTTTTCTTTGGCTTTGACGAGCGAGCCCGTCGCCCTGCTTCCCCAGCACTCGGACGCCCAGCGCCCTCGACCCTCCGGAGAACCAGGCCCCAGGAGACACCGGAGACTGCCTTGGTGCCAAGGCCTGAGAAGGAACCGAGCCGCCTCCCAGAGCGGGCACCCGCCAGCTCCCGCGGCCGGGCCGCGCCAACGAAAGCCGCAGAGACGGACGGAGCAGAACGATGCAGAAAAGACAAAGGAAAAAAGGAAAGGAAGGAAAAGGTGGCGAGCAGAGCAGGAGACAGAGGCCTCTGGAGTGCGCGGATGCAGCGCAGGGAGGCAGGCTGGAGCCCAGGCCTTCGTGCCCTGCTCCAGGAGGCTGGGGGGAGCCAGAGAAGGCAGGAGGGACAGAAAGGGCCAGAGGCAGACAGAGGCACAGAGTAAGACAGACAGAGACAGGCAGAGACAGAGGGAGGAGCAGTCTGGAGACCTTCTGCGGGGTCACCCGCCCGCCCCTCCTGGCCCCCGAACCCCCCACTCCCTTGCAGACAGGAGGGGGCAGAGGGAACCGCACAGCGTAAGGACAAGCCAGGGCAGTGGCCAGGAGGGAGGACACCCGGACTTCAGCACAAAGCCGGATGATTAAAGTAATGGCCCTGAGTCACCAGGGAAAGGTTCAATTATGCCGCGCTGACGAACGCGGGCGAGGCTGTCAGCTGGCTTTAAAAGGTTCCCTTCAGGGTTGATGAAAGCCAGGCCCCGGCCACTGCTCTCTGAGTAATCAGGGCCGGAAAGAATCAGCGAGGTATTTTCAGATCCAAGACAGAAAGAGCCCCCGGCCTGAGGGGTAGGGTCCTGAGCCCTTGGGCAAGTTAGGAACCAGCCAGGGGTCTCAGTTCTCCCATCTGTAAAGTGGAGACACTGAACCAGAACCTTCCAGCTCCAAAATCCTATACGTCTATAAAAGAGAAGTTCTCCGCTGTCAGCGTACAGACCGTGCCCTGGGACCTCATTTATGCAGAGACCCTCCCGGTCCCCAGTGCTGGGTAACAGAGGCGTGTGAGATACGGAGGTTGCTAGTCAGAGAAACAGAGATGTCCTGCTTCCCTGGATTCCTTTCTTCTATCGCAAGATAAACTCAGGGATGAGAGGCGGGCGGATGGTATATTGCCCTCCCTGGAAGAAAACAGTCATCACAAAGCCCACTCCCGCCTGCTGCTACTCCACGCCAGACGCACCAGCCATCTCTGCTCGTCCTCAAGCCGCCACTCTGGCCTGCAGGACCACGACCAGGGCAGGTCCACATCAGCCACTGCCAGAGCAGCCAGGACCTTTCCCTCCTGACCTCCTGCACCATTTCGCCACGCACGGGATGCCCGAAAACACACCGCCGGCTTCGTGCAGCCACGACGCCGCCTGCCGGGCTCGCCGCCATAACCCCGGCGGCTGCGGGATGCACGAAAGAACGTAAAGTGAAACAGAAAGCCAGTGATAAAGGGAGCCTTTTATGCTTTTATGGTGGAGAAACGTCCCCTTCTAATCCTCGTCACTCCTCATCTGCCTTAACGTTTATTGACTTCTGCAAAGGGCACTGAGTATTAAAGAAAGGCAGTGTTTCTGAAGGAGTTCGTGGATTATGAAATTGCCAAGCAGTGAGAGCTGCCTCCCTGTGTTCACCATCCGGTGACCCGAAGAAAGCCAGACTGTTGTCATCTGGAGAAAACAAAGTGGGATCCGAACTCACAGGGAACCCTGGGAAAGAAATCCCCAATCGATAAAAGATTTCGATGTAAAAAATCAAACCATAAAGGTACAGAAAGAAACCACGGGGAAATTATTTTGCAATCTTGCAGCGGCGAGGCCTGACTACGACCCAGTATCTAAAAGCCACAAAATAAAATATCGCTCGAATCTGCCACGTAAAGATAAACACGGCAAACACACACACGAACCTCATCAACAAGTCCAGCCGCCGGTGACAAAAGCCGGGCAAGTATTTGCAGCTCGCGTGGTGGAGAAAAAGCTAATCTCCCTGTTATACAAAAAGGCTCTGGAAATGGATGAGAAAAAACGAAAAGCAACAATAGCAACAACCCAACAGATACACGGACAAAGCACAAAACAGTTCATGGAAAAGGAAATACACGTGACTTCGATACACATTTTTCCCCATGTGAAAAAAGGGCCAGCCTCACCCATGATAAGAGAAACGCAAATTAAAACGGCACAAATACGGCTCTTGAGCTGCAAGATGAGCAAAATCCAAGCGTTCGGTGGCGCCCTCTGTTGGTGAGGCCCTGAAAAGGCAGGCGCTGCGCGCTCGGATTTCGGGTGAGAGCGGAAATCGGCTCCATCCCCACGGGGGGTCAGGCGGCAGCTGTGCACATCACGAACGCACACAGCTTTGGACCCAGCACTCCCACCTCCAGAAACGAGTCCCGCAGGTAGCCCTGCCCGAGTGCACAATGAAATATGGTCGGGGTTCTTTGCCACGCTGTTCGTAAAGGCAAAAGACCAGAGACGAGCCGAAGGTCCCTCAGCAGGGGCAGGTTAGATAAATCACGGCACGGCCACACCATGGGATGTGATGGGGCCATTTTAAAATGCCGGGGAAGTTCATCGTAGATCGATACGCAAAAGATATTCAAAATGTATCACTAAGCAGAAAAGATGCAAAAAAAAATGTGTAGTGTGTTACCGTTTCTATATAAAAGGAAGGAAAATCGGACTAAGGGGGCAAGGGCAATATACGTAACCTAAACATCTGTACCCCCACAATATGCTGAAGTAAAAAAAAGAAAAAAAAAGAAAAAAGGAAGGAAGGAAAAAAGGGATTGACAGGTATCCCTGGCTCTCCAAACCCTCGGAATCGAAGTCAGGACCAGGAGAGACCCTTGTGTACCATGCACAGAAACCCTCCGGATGGACACGTGCGAGCTGGACGGCGGTGGTGACCCGCTGCAGAGCAGGGAGCGAACCAAGCCGAGGGAGGACCGGCGGGAGGGCTTTTCCAGGCGCTCCTGTGTGGTGCCGGAACCACGATAACGGCTAACAAGTCCACGGCCCAGCGTGGTTCTGAGAGCTCGTCCCATCCCGGCTCATGTGATCCTAACACAGACCCTGACCTGGCAGGCCAGGCGCAGTGGCTGGCACCGGTGATCCCAGCACTTTGAGGGATAACGTGAGGCCAGGAGTTCAAGACCAGCCTGGGCAACATAGCAAGATCCTGTCTCTACAAAAAATTTAAAAATTAGCCAGGTGTGGTGGCACATGCATGCAGTCCCAGCTACTCAGGAGGCTGAGGTGGGAGGATCACTTAAGCCCAGGAGTTCGAGGTTACAGTGAGCTTGATCGCACCACTGCACTCTAGCCTGGGTGACAGAGCAAGACATTGCCTCTTAAAAAAAAGAAAAAAGAAAGACCCTGATATGGTGGAGACAAATATCATCCACATTTTACAAATGAAGAAACTGAAGCACAGAGAGGTTAGATGACTTGCCAAAGGTCACACAGCAGATAAGGGGCAGAGCCATGCATGAGTGTGTTAATACTGCCTGTTCTGATAGCAACATTTTTAAAAATTACTCCTTTTAGGCCACAGGCCGCTTTGGCTTTCCCAGGGAGAGCTGGGCACCTGTCCATCACGTCTGTCTCACTGCAGGGGACACATGTCAAGCTCTCCAAGTGATCCTGTGGAACCTCCGCCCTACACTTCCCGCCTTGGGTCGATGGTGGGGACTCACAGACCCTTCTCTTCACATAAATCTCCTTCAAAAATTCTTCCCAACTCTCTGCTCTCACGATGTTTTTAACTCTGCTGATCTGGGAGCGGTGCCCCAAATCACGGAACTGGCAGTCGGATATTTCCCTCGAAACTGTAAGTTGATGGTCCGTGCACCACTGGGCTTGCCCTGCATTTAGACTTTGTCCTGGTGACTCAGTCTAAACTGCCAGCACACAGTACTGAAACTGTCCATCCTCGTACCTCTGTTGGTCCCACACTTTGCAAAACACTACACTGAAATAACGACTTCTTGCTGACAACAGCGGCGTCTCCAGGTGACCTCCGAAGAAGGACTCAGGGCCCCTGTCCTGGAAGGAGCTGAATTCTCTGTTCAATTTCACACACGTTTCACTAACGAAAAAACGAGGCACGGCCTTCCACAAGGCGCGCCACCCGGCACACACGGAAGCACGGAGAAGCGTGGAGAACGAGCTTCCGCCAGGAGCCCACGGCGGACAGTCAACTACTGACCCGGAAACGGGAGTGTCTCCCAGCGGTGAGACCTGCCTGTGGGACCACGGGGACCGAACCCCTTCTGGAAATAATCACGCGATGCAGCGTGGTGGAGGGGAGAGCAGGGGCTCCCAACCTGGGAAGTCTGCACCAGGCCGGGACGGCGTTCCTTCCTGGGGCTTCGCTCACGCCACCAAATTTACCATCGAAATCCAGTAACGGTGCCCTGGGGAGACCCGTCCGCAGGGAGACAGCTCACCCGCCCACTCCACACCAGGCCACTCTCCCTGAGAGCAGACGGACACCCTGGCTGTAGGGGATGGAGTCACTTTACAGATCGATCTGCAAGCTGTTGGGGCCACGGTAACGACCCACTCTTCCACCCCTTGAGAGCCCATTTGGCTAGAAACCGATCAGGGCATCGCCCATCTGGCCACGGCGCGTGGCGCACCTCGCCGCGCTGTTTCCCGCAGGGCTTGGCCCGTGTTGAGCACCACGCCGCGGTTTAGAGCAGACGCTCGTTTCTGTGAAGGGGACCGATTTACAACGCTGCATCCCTCCCTGGAAGCCCCATCCTGGAGCCTCTTTCTGTGAGTTGGCCTGGGTTCAAGGACACCAGCCCTGCTCCCTACTGGTGGGCGTGGGGGTCTGGGGGGACAGCCACCAGGGCCCCGGGCCTCCCTGTCCTCATCTGCAAATGACGGCAATGACAGTGCCCCGCGGAGAGTGCTTAGCATGCGGCGGGAGCCCTTCCTAACCCTAGGTGTGGCCAGGGCACGCTGGGAGGCTGCACCGCTCACCTGATCTCCGTCACGTCCGACTTGTCCAGCTTCTGCAGCTCCAGCTTAGCGGCCTCCAGGATGGGCATGACCTCGGCAAGGGCCGTCTCGGCCTCGGCCTTCTCCACCGCGATGATCTTGTTCTGCTCCTCTATCTCCATGGCCTTCTCTTCTGCGAGCTTCTTCTTTTCCTCCGCTGCAGGGGGAGAGGGAGGTCAGGAAAGCCACCGGGAGCGGGGAGGGTGCACTTGGCTCCCGGGCCAAGGCCAAGTGCGGTCCTCAGGTCGCTCTGCACCAGGGGTCTAGGGAGCTTGGCCAACGTGGCGTCCCCAGGCCCTCCTGGTGGGGCAGAAATCCTCACTGCGTCTGGGCCTCGGACTCCAGGCAGCCACTCTGACTCTGACCTTAAATCCAATGACTGGGTCCTTATAAGGAGGCCACGAGAAGAGACCCGGGGAAGAAGGTCGTGTGACGATGGAGACAGAGATCCAAGTGACGCACCTACAAGCCACAGAAGGCCAAGTGTTGCCGGCAGCCACCAGACACCGGAAGAGGCAAGAAAGGGTTCTCCTAGGTCCTGCCCATACTAGATTTCAGACTTGAGGCCTCCAGGACCGTGAGAGATACATTTTTGTTGTTTTAAGCCACCAGCTTGTGGTACTTTGTTACGGCAGCCATGAGACACTAACACCGTAGGTAGCCGTAAATGCACCCCTGGATGCTACGCCAGTGGGATGCCAGCCTTGTGCTGGAGGCTCCCATACTCTCAGCAGGGACAGGGCCTGTGGCCTGAGATGAAGCCCAAACAGAAGACAGCAGAGCCAAGGAAGGGAAAGGACCAATTCTCACTGACACAGCTGAGCCCCTAGATCCAGCTGTGCCTGAAGCCAGCCTACCTCTGAATCAATGCATTTCCACTTTAGCTTATGTCACTGTGAGCTCAGTTTCCAAAATAGTCCTGATAGGGACAGGCAGCTTGGAAGCAGAGATCCCAGATGAGGCTACCTTCAAAATTCCAAGTGGGAGCACAGCGCCCCTGGACAAGCATGATGGCAATAGGGAAGGGAAAACAGCCACAGATGGGAAAGCCACTAAACGTGGGAGTGGCAAACAGGTCACCCTCAGTCCAACTGCAGCCTGGGCATCGGGGGAGGGGATCTCTTGGTCACGAGCTGCTTTAAGGCAGTGGCTGTGTCTCATTCAGTCCCCACCCACCGACCGCGGCATCTGACACAGAGCTGACATCCAGTCGGTATCTGTTGACTGGACAGATGAAAACACGGAACAACAGCGTCCTGCTGGACACTTCCAGTCGCGTCTTACGTCCAGGGCGTGCGGACTCGGCAAGAGTCTTTGCACACTCGCGTAAATCCGCACAGCAAGCACTTGGGAATACAGAGTTTCTAAAGAAGGGTCAAAGCAAAGTGGCGCTGCGCAGGAAGGAGGCATCTGATCAGAGTTCTGGAAGAGGAAACGCGCCTAGGAAGGCAAGGAGGAGGGTATTCTTTGAGCAAAGCAAAGGGGAAAAAAGAATAAGTTGTTGTGCGAGTCACGTGGGCATGAAGGAATGATACTGCGAGCAGGGGACAGGGCGTCCTGAGAAATGAGCTGGGCCAGGTGACACGGATCGACAGGGACCCTTCTCGGCCTCACTGAGCGTTCAGCATTAAAACGGCAGCAGGAGTTGCCACGAATGGCAGGGAAGGGATCGCGGTCGGTGAAGCTGCAGAAACCAGCAACAGTCAGGTTAAGAAAATCTGCGCAAGGAGAGAGAGTAGCTCAGAGAAGAGGAGGACGCTGAAAGACGCAAGCGGGCAGCTCCAGGGACCCGGGCTGGACGCCCGGCGCACCGTCTCTTCACGGCGCTGACGCGGGATAAACGAACGCAAGTTATCTTCAGTCTCGCGTTGGCCGATTCGAATGTGCAGGCCAGGAGAACCATCTGGTGGGCTGCCAGGGCTGGAGCGTCCATCCCGACGGCACGCGCGGGGATGGGGAGAGGCAGGCTGCCAAGGCCAGGTTGGGGCGCCGTCACCAGAGCGGCGGAAGGCGGATCCCATGCACAGGCCTGGTGCAGTGACAGCGGGACTGAACCAAGATCACGCTTAGAAGCCACACACGTGTGGACTGGAAGAAGGGGGGCGGGCAAGTCAGGTGGCTTCTGCACCTGGGAACTGGCCGCACAGGGTGCAAACCAGGATTCTGATGACGTAAGATGCTGGCAAGAGACAGGAGCCCAAAGATGTCGAGAGAGAGCGCGAGACCAGGGAGCTGTCCCCTGTGAGACCTGGGACAGGCAAACCCCCAGGAGCGGGACAGCCCGGGCAAGCACAGCTGCTCAGCCAGGAAGACCAGGAGCAGGGGCCCAAGAGAGAACCTGGAAACAGCTTCAGGGAGAACTAAGACAGCCCCACACAGAGGACACTCCGGCTTTGGTCATCTCACCCCCGGGCACTTAGTTGGCCAGCTCGCTGAAGGTCAAGAAACGGACTTTTCCACACCCCGTCAAATCCTCGAGCCACCTGCTCAGGGCCCAATGGCTGGCAGAGTCTCGGTGCTCATGACGGGGGACAGGACTGGCTGGACGGGAGCTCAGAAAGAAACAGGAATCAGAGTGTCAGAGACGCCACGCTCAGTGCCACCGAGTGACTTCTCAAGGACGGCCCCAGTGGAACGCTGCCCTGTTCGGGAGTGGGCCCGCCCCTCGCTGCCCGCCGCTTGCCTATGGCGGTGTTGGCGGCGATCTCCTCCAGCAGGGCCTCGCAGGCGGCCGACTTCTCCGCCAGCACGATCTTCTGCTCGGCCAGCTTCTGGTTCAGCTCGTCCAGCTGAATGGTGGCCTCCTTGAGCTTGTCCAGGCCCCCCTCCAGACGCCTGCACTGGGCTGAGGAGAGAGCAGCCGGGTTCACCGTCAAGGCCGGTGCTGTTCTGAACACACCTGGGCGAGCCAGCGCTCACCGGGATTCACCAAACATGGGCTCACCGGAAAAAAATCATTTTTAGGAGACGTCACGCATCCTTCGGCGCCGCCACTGCCATACTGGGATGGCGCCGGCCACCATGAATATATGTCTGAAAGCGGCCTGTCCCTTGGCCAACAGCCAGCGCCAGAGCATTTTTCAGAACCACTTCCTAACAGAGCACGTTGCATTGAGCAGTCTCTCTAATGAGGTGGAAACATAGAGCGACAAGGTGTGTGGCCCAACACTGAGATGAAACAGAGCACGCCAGGGCCCTGCCCACACGGAAGAATTACTCCAAAATGCAAAATCCAAAACGTGCCTTGCTTGGCCTCACCTTGCTAAGAAACATCTGCTTCAAGAAAAGATCAGTGCCTGAACCCTTACTCGTCAGCGGAAATGACCTCTGTTAACCGTCCCACCCCCAGGTCTCACCTATGTTATACTGAGTTTTCTCATCCAGCAGTTTTGAGTAGGTGTTAATAAAATCGAGGTAGTTCTTGGGAGTCACGTAGTTGCTGCGTCTCAGTTTCTGCAGAAATCGTTTGCTGAACTGGCCCACGGATTCGTGAACCAGAGCGACATGCTCCACCAGATCCTCCATGTTTTCCAGCGGGATCAGCGGGTTATCCCCTGAAGAGGAAGGAATGGAAAAGGCAACTTTAAAGAAAGGAAAACAGCAGTTCCTCAAGAAGTTAAACGTAGAAACACCACGTGACCCAGCAATCCCACTCTAGATATGTCCCCAGAGAACCGAAAACAGGGACGCAAACAGATTCCTGTGCTCCAGTCTCACAGTGGCCTAGCCACAGTGGCCAAAAGGCAGAAACGAGCCCAGTGTCCACAAAACAGATGAAGGGACAAACAAAAAAATGTGCTCCATCCACACAAGGGACTGTTGTTCACCCATAAAAAGGAACGAGGCGCTGACACACGCCACAACACGGATGAACCTCGGCAACACGGCGCTAAGTGAGCAAAGCCAGACACGGGACATGGAGCACGTGACTCCACTTCTGTGAAACATCTAGAATAGACAATTCCCACAGTCAGAAAGGAGCTTAGAGGTTGCCAGGGGCTGGAGGGATTGGGGTGGGGAGTGGTTGTTAAACGGGGACAGAGTTTCAGTTCGGGTTGATGGAACGTTTTGGAGATAGATCGAGGTGACAGTTGCATGACGTTAGGAATGCAGTGAATGCCACAGGGACACTTAAAAATGATTAACGTGGGAAATTTTGTTGTATGTATTTTACAACAATGAAAAACGACGTTAAAAATTTTAATAAAGAAAGGAAGGAAAAGAGCGGCTATCACTTAGTGGTGACTCTTCTAGAGCACAGCCGTGACCCGTGCTCTAGCAACTCCTCCGCTAACACAGAAAGCCGATCCTCCTTCCCACTGCTAGGAAGCCGCGTCTTCCCCGACAGCTCAGACACGGCCGCGGACGGGGCCTGGCATCTCAGGGGAGATCAGCGCATCTCGCCCCCGCCCCGGGCCGGGCGGGCTTGCCCAGCCCTTCACTGCCGGGTCCTCAGCACCCGCTCGTACCGGCGAGAGGCGGGCCTTCCTACAGATCTGTCGAAAGAATGAATGATCGCTCCGGTGCCAGGATTCCATCTCTCGGTCACCTGACAGACCGTTAAATATCTTCACCTCAGAGCAGAGTATGTCGCACGTTAAAACGAGGGAAGGAAAGTGATCAAAAGTGCCGATTCACCCACATTCTGTAGAGCTGATCTTGAGTTATACCAGGGGTCGGCAAACCACAGCCCGAGGGCCAGTTTTACAGCGTGCACGGAAAACCCGGCTTCACAAATGCCTACATTTTTGGGCACAGTCATCCCAATTCCAAGGAACACATTCTAAGGAAAAAACTCTAAGCAAATTCCAAGCAGTGTTATTTATGACACTGAAACACAGAATACTGAAAGCAAACCCGAGTGCTAACCCTGGAAATGGCTCACACCTCCGTGAAAACCAGGGCACATCTCTATCAGCGTCGGCAAACGGAGAACCCAAGGACAAAGCCAGCCCACCACCTGTCTTTGTAAATAAAGTTTTATTAGAACACGGCCACAGCCATTCACGTACACATTGTCTGTGACTGCTTGCACGATACAGTGGCAGACTGAGTAGTTCCAGCAGAGCTGTAAATATTAATACTCCCCATCTGGAACTTTACAGAAAAGCTTCCACCCCCGGGGTTATGTAATCAGAAAAGAGTCATTCTCTTAGCCCCCTTCGCCAAAAAACTATCATAAGTTATGACTTCTGCTTGTATAGAGGGACTATTTACTTATTTATTGAATACATATTTACAAACTCACCCAGTGTCATTTGGCATAAATCTGTTCAAGCTAGGTCCAAAGAAAAAGATTTTCTCTAGAAGATCAAAGGACTTGCTTTCTTATTCAAAGATTTAAATAAATATCCAAGGCCTTAGGTGTTGGAAGCTTTAGAGAGAAGTTCAGCACTGATTGATGTTTACTGAAAGGTCCGTGGGGCATGCCTGGGGTACCAGCACACTTTTTCTTCAAAAAGCCAACCAGTAGGATTCTCAGATAACACAAACTTTAAACCAGCAAAAGTAAAAAAAGACAAAGATGGCCACTATATATTGGTGAAAGGGAA